AAGGAGCTTCCAGAGCTTGGGAGAACTGGAAAACCACTGAGCTCATGGGCCAGCTAGCCTGATGGAGCTTCCTTTCTGGCCCCTTGAGTCTCTTCTCGCAGGAAGCCATGCCCACGCCATGGGGCACACAGCTGCCCGGCTCCCTTGGGATGACCACACTCCCGGGGTGTTTGTGGAGGCTGGACAGGGGCCCTGACCTCTCATTAGCAGCTCACACATCCGTGTGCTAATTGGGGTGGGGATTTGGGTCTGAAAGATGTGGGAATTTGCCATTCACACTTGGTGTGTTTGCAAGACCTTGGGAATATGCCGGAGGGCCCCCGTAGGGCATGTGCCAAGGGGCAGAAGCCACACTCCAGATGCTGCATGTAGCTGTTCTGCAGTGCTGCAAGGGGGATGCCCAATCCATCTGCCCCCAAAGGAGCCACAGCTTCAGCAGGAAGGGGCTGTGGGCTTTTCCATGCTAGTGAGACACCACTCTGCTCTGTCCTGCAGGGGACATGGTGTTCCAGCACCGGGAGCCACTGATCCGGACCTTCCTGCGGGGCGCCCGGGACCCTGATGGAGCACTGCGGGCCAGCAGCCTCTCCAACCTGGGCGAGCTCTGCCAGTACCTTGGCTTCCAGTTGGGATCCATTGTCCAGGAGGTACCAGCTCCATCCTTCCCCAGGTCCCTGCCTGGGAAGTGTGGGCTCATCGCTTGTTTACAAGTGGGTTCGTTAGTGTGTGGTTGAGCTGCTGAGGACATGGAAATGGGATATTTCCATATGGAAATGGAACATTTCCACAAAGGACATGAGTGATAACAGTGATAATTGCTTATACATGGAGCACAAAAGCCATTGGGCCTGAAGCAAACACTCAGGAGGTTCTAACCCTGATTTTTAGGTATATGCTCCACCCATGGCAGCTGCTGCCAGAGGAGACCTGGGGGCACAGGTGGTGCCTGCCAGAGACACCTCCCGCTTAATGACACTTAGTTACCCTCCCGTTATCATAATTATCATAATTATCGTTATCAGTATGGCTGAGCCATCCCTCGCCCCAGCTGCCGGCTCTGAGTGAGACACGGCTGCCCGGAGAGCCGCTGGCGCTGTGATCCTGGTAGGGGTGAGCCCAGCTCTGGGTGATCCAGCAGCCCTCAAGCTGGTGGGTCTGTGCCCCATGGGAGCCAGAGCTTCACCCCCCTGGTGCTCCTTGAGCTGGAGACCACATGGATTTGGTGCTCAGGCTTCTCCCCTGATTCCCACTCGGCACCAGTGAGTCCCAGCGGTTGATGCGATGCCAACGCACCACACGCTGCTATTTCAGGAAGGCGCAAGCTCTGCTAATTCTCCCGGCTGTCACTGCTGGGGTTTAATTAGATTCCTTTGGCTCTGCCTGATTTTTATACAGCTTGTTATACAGCTTCCCGAGGCATCCATGTGCTACCTGGCCCCAGCAGGAGGAAGGGCTGCTCGGAGCCAGTGCCCCACGGGAAGTGGGACCCCCCAGCTGGGTGCCAGGCCAGGCACTGGGGTCCCATCGTCATCCTCGGGATGTCTCTAGCATCGCAGCAGCTGCTCCGCCAGGATCCCCCACATCCTGCAGCCCTTGCTGATGCCCCCCTGCACTGTCCCCACAGGTCACCTGCTGTGTGACAGCCATAGCCCGGACAGACCCTGAGGCCGAGGTGCGAAGAGCTGCTGTGCATGTGGTGGTGCTGCTGCTGCGGGGGCTGAGCGAAAAGGTCACCGAGGTGGGTCCCTCCTCGTTTGTCCCCATGGCAGGGACAGCCCCCAACACGCTCCTGGGCATCCCTTGGGCATGGCCCCTGTCCCATGGGGTCTGCAGGGCTCATTTCCAAGCAGCTTCCAGGGAAAGTCTCAAGGGACTGAGACCCCCAACTTTGGCCTCCTCCACCAAAGGACCCACTCAGCAGATCCTGAGAAAGTGGGGACTTTGTGGGGGCATCCCTCTGAGCTCCTGGGATGTGCCGTGGGGCCATGCCATGCCATGAGTAGTGCCAGCTCTCAGGAGCCGTGGGAGTTATTCATCACTGATTTGACTTGGAAATGCCCAGTTTTTCTACCACTGTGCCCTCCCTCTCCAGTTCCCAGTAACAAGCATGTTGGGACTCAACTCCCATGGAGGAAACAGCTGGTTCCCCACGGGAATCCCCGCAGCTGGGATCTCAGCATCCCCCTGTGCCCCTGGGGTGGAGGTTCACCACAATGTGCTCCTGGTGTGTGGGGAAACTGAGTCACGGCAGGCCAGAGCTGTGGTCGGCGGTGGTGGTGCTGCAGTGTCCTGGCACCGGCAGCGCTGGGGGAAGGGGCAGCCCCGCGCCTGCCAGGACACGCTGAGGGGGCGGGTGCGGGTGAGGCACCAGTGAGTGCTTACACTTGCCATGCCTGCCATATCCAGGTACTGCAGGACGTGCTGCGGGACCTGTACCACCTGCTGAAGCACGTGGTGACGGCCGAGCGCGACGGCGCGACAGTGCTGCACGCACAGCTGGCACTGGAGGAGCTGGACACCGTCATGAGGAGGGTCCTGTTCCCCCCACAGACGCTGGAGAAGAAGATCATTGTGCTGCCGTAGCAGGGCTGTCTGTGGAAATGAACTGTTTCTGCTCTGACGTCGGGGCCAATGGCTCCCAGAGGGGAAGGACTCACTGTGTCCCTGGGATGCTGCTGGCTGGTGCCGGCTGGGGCAGGGAACCTCGCTGGGATGAGGTGTGGGATTAAATAGAGACACACTCAGCCCTGTGTCTGTGGCATCTGTGGGAGTCATGTGAAGGTTTTGAGTGCCATTGTTGCCATGCCCTGGGTCCAGTGGGAGGATGGGCATCACCCCCAGGGCCAGCATCAGTCCCTGGACCGGCATAGCAGCCAGAGGGCCAGTGCTTCAGGCTCCCTGTGGCCAGCCAGCCACTGCTGACCCTGAGGGGAGTCGGGAGGGTGAGGGACTCTGCTGTCTGCACCCCTTGAGTGGGCATCCATGGCCCCCACTTGGCATCATATGCCACAGGGATGCTGGAGGGTCTGGTGTCTCCTTCACTGCAGAGTCTGAGGATGGGCCCCTCCGCTGTGGCACCAGAAGCCCTCTCCATCCCAAGGAGGGCCTGTGGGACCCTGTGGCTGTGGGCACTTGTCTGGGACCAACACTCACCACCATGTGCTTTGGGACACCCCAATGTTGGGGTCACCCCCACCTCCAGCCAGGGCAGTGCCCATGGGTGCTGCAGCACCACAGGCCTAATTCCTGCACTGGGAGTTGCTGCACACCTACAGCGGTGGGGGAGCAGAGTCCTCAGGAACCCAGCCCTTACCCCCCTCACTGCCCTGGCACCATGCAGCCCCCAGCCCCTCCATATACAACCCCAGGGGCCCATTTCCCAACTGCCCTGTGCCATCCCAGATAGTGGGGAGAGGGGGTCTGGCACACCCCTTCCCTACCAGGTTAGGAGCCCTGAGCTGTGTCACCACCCCGTGCATTGCCGTGCGATGCCCTGAGTGGCAGCAGGAGCGGACTGTCCTCACTGGAGAGAGCAGCGGTGGCTGAGTGCTCCTCCTCATTCACAGTGCTGTGTTGGACCACAGGCACAAACCACAAACCAGGGTGCTGCTGTACCAACTGTGCCTGTCCAGGGACTGCTACGAGTGGTGGAGGATGAATTTGGAATGAAAAATCTCTTTTGATGCCACTGGCTGGACACTGTCAGGCCATCCTGCCTCTGGCAACAAGGACATGTCCTGCCTCTGGGAATAAGGTGTCTGGCTGTCTTGCCTCTGGGAGCAAGGATGTGTCTGGCTGGGAGCAAAGCAGCGGCTATGCTGGGAATGGAGGTAGTTTGATTCCCACCTTGGACAGCCACAGGCACACCAAAAAGTGAGGGGTCCCTGATGAGGGCACAGGGAGGGCTGTGATGTGGGTACACGCTGCCCCTGTCCTACGTCCCCCTTCCCTGCAGTTGGGCACCTGTAGCCACAGGGACACTGGCAGTATCACGGCAGTGGCACAGGCCATACCAGTCTGACCCCACCGTGCCGGGCTTTGCAGCCCCGCACCCCACTGCTGCGCTGTGGGAGCCCTGCCTGTGATGCCGAGAGTCCCGGCATGCCCCTGTCCAGCTCCTTGCCACCTGCTCCAGGCGCTTGGGAAGCTCTCAGGCTCCATCGCCTCGGTGCTGGGCGTCAGTCGAAGGGGACCTGTCTGCCCAGGGTGCTCCCCCTGGAGGGATTCCCTTCCCCAGCTCCTGGTGCTCGGAGGCTCCGGGTCCAGTCCTGGTGTCACCTCGCACCCGGCTCCCAGCACAGCAGGACGCAACGGACCGTATTGGAGTGAGGAACCCGAAAGTGCTGGATTTAAGCCCAGAGCCAAGGCTGCAGTTCCTATGGACTCAGAATGGCTTCTCCCGGAGCTGGATGTCCCTTGCCATAAGCCCAGCACGGGGACACGGTGCTGCTGTCCCCGTGATGCCCCTGGTTCTGCCCCGGCACACACCAGCCACAGGGACAGGGTGACACGAGTGGCTCATAGCTGTGAGAGGACAGGGTAACATAGGGAGATGACACGTGGGTGTCGTAAGAGGGACTCAAGAACGGGGTGGCGGGAAATGGAGTGACCGGTCCCTGGCCCGTGGAGCTGCGCCAATGCCAGTGGCGGGTGATGCCGGCGCCGGGTGATGCTGATGCCGGTTCCGGTGCAGCACTGGAGCCGCTATCGGTGCTGCCGGTGCAGCAGCTGTGCCGTGGTGCCTGTGATGATGCCCGTGCCGGTGCAGCACTGGTGCCGCTGATGCCGGTGCTGTCGGTGCCGGCGGTGCTGGTCATCACTCCCGCAGTGCGGGGCTGGGGCCGGTGCCAGGTGCTGCCGGTGCGGGGCGGGTCCCCGGTGTCTGCGGGCGGAGCCGGAGCCGGTGCCGGTGCCGGTGCCGGGGGCGGTGCCGGCGGTGCCGGTGTCGGGCGGGGCCCCCGCGGGCTGCGGGCGGTGCCGGCCCCGCCGCGGTATAAAGGGGCCGCTCGGGCCGGGCTGGGCGCACAACGGCGGCGGTGGGTGGGGAGCGGCGGTACCGGTACCTCCACGGTGAGTCCCGGCTCCTCCTTCTCCCTCCTGGCCCCTCTGGTCCGGCTCGGGGTTCTCCTGCGGCGCTGCGAGACCGGCGGCGGCACCGGGGGCTACGGGGCCGGAGGTAGCGGGTAGCCGGGAGCGCCGGGGGCTGCGGGACCGGGAGGAGTGGGGAGCGCCGGGGGCTGCGAGGCCCCGGGAAGAGGCCGGGGGGGCTGCCCAGGGGCTCTGCCGGCGGCACGGGTGTTCCTGGGGCTGGCTCTGCGTCCTGCCCGCACCCCCGCACGTGCTCGTGCACCCCCCGACATGCCCGCACCCCCTGCCCGCACCCGCGCCCTGGTGCAGCTCTGCAGTCCCGTCCTGCCCGCGCTGCCGGTCCCCGCGTCTCCATCTCGCCGCGGGGAGGGGATCTGGGTGCTGCCATCCCCGCAGCCGGGGGTCCCGCCACAGGCAGTCGTCGTGGTCTGGAGCTCTGAGTGCCGTGATCTCCCCGGGGACACCCCGGTCCCTGGCGTCCCTGTGCCCTTCCCTGTCCTCCAGCCTGGCCATCGCTTGGGAGCAGCCGTGCTCCCACTTGGCTGGACGGGGGTGCTGGCACTGCGCACTGTGGGGTGCTTGGGACCTCCACACCTCACCTGCCACCCTGCACGGTGGGGTGCTTGGAACCCTCACACTTCATCTGGCCCCATGGAGACACTGGGAAGGTGTCACCCCCAAACCAGTGACCAGCAAGGGACAGGGTGGCCATGGGGTAGCAGAGAAGCAGGGTCTTCCAACTTCTGTGTTATGGGGGGCCCTGGTAGGGAGCATGTCCCCCTGTTCCTTCTCTGATGCTCCTTGGTATTCCTTCAGATGCCAGGGAGCCTCTCCACGGCCCTGCGTGTCGTGGGGACCAGCCTCTTTGCCGTGGTGGTGCTGGGGGGAATCCTGGCTGCCTACGTCACAGGGTACCAGTTCATCCATACAGAGAAGCACTACCTCTCCTTCGGGCTCTACGGGGCCATCCTGGGGCTGCACCTCTTCATCCAGAGCCTCTTTGCCTTCCTGGAGCACCGGCGCATGCGGGGCGAGGGGCGGCCAGTGCGGCCGGGGCGCTCCGTGGCCCTCTGCATCGCCGCCTTCCAGGAGGATCCCGACTACCTGACGAAGTGCCTGCGCTCTGTCAAGCGCATCGCCTTCCCTGACCTCAAAGTGGTGATGGTGGTGGATGGAAATGGCCCTGATGACACCTACATGCTGGACATCTTCCACGACGTGATGGGCTCCGAGCACTCAGGCAGCTACATCTGGAGGAGCAACTTCCACGCGCAGGGCGAGGGGGAGACGGAGGCCGGGTTGCGGGAAGGGCTGGCCCATGTCCAGGCGCTGGTGCGCAGCAACACCTACTCCTGCATCCTCCAGAAGTGGGGCGGGAAGCGGGAGGTGATGTACACGGCCTTCCGGGCGCTCGGAGACTCTGTGGACTACATCCAGGTGGATGCATGGGCTGGGGGGATGCGGGCAGTGAGTGTCCTGCCTGCAGTTGGGCAGAGGGGCTGTGGGTGGGACAGGAGCAGCCCTGGGAGCTTGCAGGAGTGCTTGGGTGCCTGGATGTGGCCCATACACTGGCCCTGAGCCACTGACACCAGGGCTGGGGGTGACTGGCACTGGGGTGGCCAAGGGGTCAAGCCCTGTCTGCAAGGGTGCCACATCACCTCCTGAGCACATGCCCTGGCATGGTGTCACTGAGTGGGACAGCGTAGCACAGTGCAGGGTGCTAGGTCCCCAGGGTGGCTGGGACAGGTCCTCCATCAGTTCCGGGATAGGTGTCCTGGGGCAGTGGTGTCGAGGTACCACAGGGTGCTCCACTCCCTGCCATCGCCTGCCGGCCTCCAGGGCCCTGCCTGGTCTCGCCAGGCTCGGGCTTGCCTGGCTGCGGGCTGGGCTGTCTGCCGGGTGCATGTGGGCGGCGGGAGCGGGGCTCGACGTTCCCTCTGCCCCCAGGTGTGTGACTCAGACACGGTGCTGGACCCCGCCTGCACTGCCGAGATGCTCCGCATCCTGGAGGCTGACCCCCATGTCGGTGGCGTCGGTGGCGATGTGCAGGTACCCCTGTGTGAGGGAGGGCACCCCAGGGCGGCGAGGCAAGGGCAGGGCTGGGAGTGTCGGGGGCTGCAGCAGTGCCAGAGCTCACATCCATCTCCTCCCCAGATCCTGAACAAGTACGACTCGTGGCTCTCCTTCCTGAGCAGCGTTCGGTACTGGATGGCCTTCAACGTGGAGCGCGCGTGCCAGTCGTACTTCGGGTGCGTGCAGTGCATCAGCGGCCCCCTGGGCATGTACCGCAACACCCTCCTGCAGCAGTTCCTCGAGGACTGGTACCACCAGACCTTCCTGGGCAGCAAGTGCAGCTTCGGGGATGACCGGCACCTCACCAACCGTGTGCTCAGCCTGGGCTACCGGACCAAGTACACGGCTCGCTCCAAGTGCCTGACGGAGACACCCACGCGGTACCTGCGCTGGCTCAACCAGCAGACCCGCTGGAGCAAGTCCTACTTCCGTGAGTGGCTCTACAACGCACTGTGGTTCCACAAGCACCACCTCTGGATGACCTACGAGTCGGTGGTCACTGGGTTCTTCCCCTTCTTCCTCATTGCCACCGTCATCCAGCTCTTCTACCGTGGTCGCATCTGGAACATCCTCCTGTTCCTGCTGACGGTGCAGCTGGTGGGTGTCATCAAGGCCACCTATGCCTGCTTCCTGCGTGGCAACGCTGAGATGATCTTCATGTCCCTCTATGCTCTCCTCTACATGTCCAGTCTGCTGCCTGCCAAGATCTTTGCCATCGCCACCATCAACAAATCTGGCTGGGGCACCTCGGGGCGTCGCACCATCGTGGTGAACTTTGTGGGGCTGCTGCCAGTGTCGGTGTGGGTGGCAGTGCTGCTGGGCGGGCTGGCCTACACTGCCTACAGCCAGGACCTCTTCAGCGAGACCGAGGTGGTCTTCCTCATTTCGGGTGCCATCCTCTACGCCTGCTACTGGGTGGCCCTGCTCACCCTCTACCTGGCCATCGTCGCCCGCCGCTGTGGCAAGCGGGAGGAGCAGTGTGGGCTGGCCTTCACTGAGGTCTGACCGCAGAGTGGTGCTGTGTGCTGGGGGGCTCCTGTGTGCCAGAACAATCATCCCCAGTCCCCTCTTCCCCCATCCTGGAGCCGGGATGGTGGAAGTGCCAGGTGCTGGGCAGTGCTGGGGTGTCCCCACTTGCCAGAGCAACCATCCCAGATCCCCTCTTCCCCCATCACAGAGCCACCAGGTGCTGGGCAGTGCCAGGGTAACTATTCCCGGCCCCCTCTTCCCCATCCCAGAGCCAATGGGCAGCGCTGAGCGCTCCCACCCCTTGGCACTTCTCAGCAAATCTTGAAATCTTGCTAATTTTTTTATTGATATGTTTATTTTTTTCCTTATAATTTCTGCATCCCAAGCTGGCCGTGGAGAAGCTGAGCCAGGGCTGCCCGTCACCCCGCTGGGTGCCGCCGGCCACATCCCTGCTGTGCCCTATGGAGCATCCTGGTGCCGAGCGCTGCTGGCTGCGCTCCCCTCACCCCAATCCAGAATTGTCCACCTCTCGGTGCTTTTTACAGGGATCAGTCCCATCTCCACGGTGCTACAGCACTTCCCACACCCAGGACACGCTGTGTCCGTCTGGTGCGGTGCCAGCACTGCTGGATGGTGCTGCCTCTGCCCCACGGCTGCGTGCGGGCACGTACCCACGGGGAGTACTCCAGCCCTTTTTGGGGAGGGGCCTGGCTGCTCCAGGAGGGCAGCAGGACCCTTCAGCTTTGCCAAAGAGCCAATGGGGGAATCCTGGCGTGGAGAAAATGGGGGGAGCCGTGGGTTGTGTGGAGCATTACCCCCAAAGGGGCTGTGGTGAAGCTCTGGCCAATTCATGGCCCCATCATTCCCACCCTGCTGCCTTCCCAACAGTAGGAAGACGCTGGGATTTAGGCAAGGTGCTTCCCAACCTTTCCCCTCCCAAGGGAATTCACCTCTGGGTCCTTTTTTTCAGGACTTGGATGAAAACTCCTTTCTACAACAGAGCTTTTAGCTGTTTTTTGTTTAATTTAATATAAGGTTTTTTAGGAGACTTTTGTAGCTCTTTGGTATTGTTATGGATGGTTTGTAAATCTATTTATTTTTGAACCGGCCAGGGGGATCTTTTTCATATTTTAGGGGAAAAAACTGGTTTTTATATCCTGATGGAGTTGGGGGAATAAAGACTCGCATCAAAGATGTGTGTTGTGTCGTGGGGAGGGGTCCTGGTCCCTCTGCCATGATTTGAGGGAGATTGGGGCTGAGTCCCTGTCTGGCACTGGTGTCCCCGCAGATGCAGGGAGGGGTAGAGGGGGACTTCTCCACCCTGCCACCTCTGTGAGTCTCCGAGAACTGCTGAGTCCAGGCACTGAGGGCAGCCCCTAGATAGGACACCCCTGCATGGGCTCAGGGCAGGTTCCTGCCCCTCAGGAACCAGGTCCCCTGGAGAGACCCACATGGTCTGTGGCTCTCAGAATAAGAGTCAGTTTGAGGGGACAAGTGACCCAGGAAGGGCTCTGGATGCCCAGACACAGAACTCAGCACCCTCAGCGTTCCCTGTTCAGGACAGGAATGAGGTCCTGGATCTTTCTCAGTCCTTGATGCTCTTCCCAGCAGCAGAATGAAGTTCACAGCCCCCATCCATCCCCCTCACACCTTCTTGGGCACGTGGGTGATGATGGGCTTGGGGCGGGTTTTGAAGAGCAGTTTGGTTTTGATGAGGGCGGTGACGGTGTAGTGTCCCTGTGGCTCCCCAGGGCTGGGCTGGGGGGCTCCTGCCTGCTTCACCAGCACAGCAAATGGCTTTTCCAGCTGCACCACCTTTCCATAGAGGATGTGGTGGCCCACGATGAGCACAGGGATGCCCTGGGGAGAGTGGAGGGTGAGGGTGGGCAGGGCCAGGCTGTCCCCAGCAGGGACCCCAGTGCCACCTGCCTCACCTCGCAAGTGTAGTGCAGATCTCCCAGGAGGCTCCCGGCCAGGCTCCCGCTCTGCCGGGGCTCTACCTCGCCCTGCAGCTCCACCAGCACCCACTGTGCCAGGGGCCCGGCGCCGCTGCTGTAGGAAAGACAGGGGGTCACCCAGGCAGGGTCACCCGGGGCCTGGCCGTGACCCGATACAGGCCTGCAGGGGCTGGACCCCAGGGGTCTCACCTGGAGATGACGATCTGCACCATGTCAGGTCCTGGGGGAGCTGCAGAGACACAGGCAGGGCGTGGGGCAGGGCCTGCTACCCTGGGGTGCCCAGGCTGAGCTCCTGCCCGTGGGCCCCACAGACGCCATGTCCAGACCTTTCCCGGGCCCCACACACCCACCCATTCCCGCCCGCTGGGTCCTGCAGCCCCCTCGGGCCCCACAGGCCCCCTTGGCCAGACCACAGACCCACTCCTTCCCCGGGACCTGCAGCCCCCACGCCCAGACTGCCCCCCCGCGGTGCCCCGCAACGCCCCGCTGCTGCCCCCGGTTGCGCGGGGCGCTGGTGCCCTCCAGCGGCACCGGTGCGGCGGGGCCGGGCCGGGCCGGGCCGGGCCGTTCGGGGGCCGGGCTCCTCCCGTTCTCCCCTCCGCCCGGCCCGGGCCGCCCCCGCCCCGCTCCCCCGCCCCACTCCCCCGCGCCGCTCCCGCACCCGCCGCGAATCTCCCGCCGCGCCGCCGCTTCCGCCTCCGGTCACGTGCGGCCCCGGGGCAGCCCCGGTTCCGGTGCCGCGCGCACGTGGGGCGGAGCGGGGCCGGGACGGGGATCGGGACCGGCATCGGAGCGGGGCCGCCGGGCGCGATGGGCGAGTTCGAGGTGCACCGGGTGCGATTCTTCGGGCTGGTGCCCGCGGGCGTGCGCTGCCTCGCCTGCCAGCCCCGCGGCTCCCGCCTGGCGCTGGCCCGCACCGACGGCGCCGTCGAGGTGTACAACTTCGCCGCCAACTACTACCAGGAGAAGGTGAGGGCGCCGGCACGGGCCGAACCGGGCTGTGCTGGGCCTGTATTGTGCTTTAGCGAGTTTGTACCGGGCCCGTACCGAGCCTGTACTGGGTCTGTACCGGGCCATGCCGAGGCTGTACCGGGCTTTACTTGGCCCTGCCGATCCGCACCGGGCCGTACAGGGGCTCTGTCGGGCCGTGCCGCGGTGTGACGCCCGTCCCTCCGCAGGTGATCCCCGGGCACGACGCGCGGGCGGTGGAGTCGCTGTGCTGGGCTGCCGGGGACCGGCTGTTCGGGGCCGGGCTCAGCGGGGACATCACCGAGTACGACCTGTCCCGGCTGAGCGCGGCCCGCGGGGCCGACGGCGGCGGGGGGCCCATCTGGAGCATGGCGGCCAACAGCACCGGCACCCAGCTGGCGGTGAGTCCCGCCGGGAACGGCACCGGGAGCGGCACCGGGAGCGGCGGCAGGGGCGAGGGATCCTCCCGTGCCGCCGGGCTGATCCCGACTTCCTGCAGATCGGCTGCGAGGACGGTTCTGTTAAGATCTTCCAAGTCGTTCCTGGAGGGATCCAGTTCGAGCGGAACCTGGACAGGCGGAAGGGTGAGTCGGGCAGCAGCACCGTTCCTTTGTTCCCCTTGGTGTCCCAGTGACCGAGGGGCTGTGAGCCCGTGGGGTCACACCTGGAGCTTCCCTCCCCAGGTCGTGTGCTGTGCCTGTCCTGGCACCCCTCGGACACCCACATCGCCGCTGGCTCCATCGACGTCTTCCGCATCATCGACATCACTTCAGGTACCTCCTGCCCCAGGGGGTGGACCCTGGCCTGTCCTACAGCACTGCCAGCAGGCCCCCTGTGCTCCAGGGAGATCCCCAGCCACCCCAACTGTCCTCCATGTGCAGGTCAGACTGTGCAGAGGATCATGGTGAACTACCACGTGGAGAAGGTGAAGCGCGAGTGTGTGGTCTGGGCCATCGCCCTCCTCTCTAGAGGCACCGTGGTCACTGCTGACTCCTTTGGGAGGGTACAGTTCTGGGACTGGCAGCAGGGCACGCTGGCAGAGTCCCACACTGTCAGCACCTCAGCTGTGCTCTCGCTGGCTGTGGCAGAGGTTGGTGAGATCCCCATGTCCTCCCTCAGCTGACAGGGGCCTGTGGCAGAAGCTGCTGGGCTCGGTGCCTCCCAATGATGCACTCCCTCTCTTCCCAGTCTGCTCCCACAACCCCATTCCCGTTTTTGTCCCCAGAAGGAGGACAGCATTGTCGTGGGTACCTCGACTGGAGCCACCTACCAGCTGCAGCTGCTGCCGGTGAAGCTGGGTGGATCAGAGAAGCGCTGGGTGCGGACCAAGCCCTTCCAGCACCATAGCCATGATGTGCGGGCCGTGGCACACAGCCCCACTGCCCTCATCTCTGGGGGTAGGACTGCCAGGGGCACCGGGACAGGCTGGATCTCCCTTCCTGGTACCGGCTTGGCTGATCCCTGTTTGGCTTCCAGGCCTGGATGCCCAGCTGGTGATCCGCCCACTGATGGAGAAGGTGCAGAAGAAGGGCTATGATGCAGTGCTCCGAAAATTCACCTTTCCCCACGTGAGTGACTCTTAGAGTGGTGTCTTGTGGCTGGTGGGGCAGGTGGGCAGGGCTACAGGAGAAGCTGGACCTCCTTGCCCCTCTGGGTACCCTCCTTGCTCTGACAGGGTCCCTTCCCTTCCCCTTGGGTCCCTTCCCTGACCCATTGCATCCCCTTCCTTGGACCTGGTACATCTGGAGGCTTCTGCCAAGAAACGGTAGAAGTTGGCAAGCTGGTCTTGCTGGTCCTGCCGGGTCTCCATTTCCAGGCTCCTATCCCATGGAACCTGTTCTATCCCACACTTTGCAGTCTCCAGCACCCCAGGGTGTTGGTGGTGCCTCAGCCCATTGTGCCAAGCTGTGGGTCCCTGACAGCCTGACCATTTCCATGACATCCTGCCTGTTTCTCCACACAGCGACGCCTTGTCTCCTGTGCCAGGAAGGCCCGGCTGCTCCTCTTCCAGTTCTCCCAGCACCTGGAGCTCTGGAGGCTTGGCTCCACTAGAGAGAGTGGTGAGTTGCAGGTGCAGCTCTCCAGCGTTGGCCCTGTGGCAGAGCCTGTTACTCCCCCAAGAATCCCCAGCTGCCCAACAGGACCTCTGTGGTTTTCCCACCGTCACTGATGCTCCGTGTGCTTTCTCGTCCCAGGAAAGGATGGCGAGGTCCTTCCCTTGTGCCGCATGCCCGAACACCTCGTGCAGCTCAAGAGCAAGGTAGGGCAGAGCAGGGCAGGGGTCCCCCTTGGAGAGAGGCACGTGGTGGGCTCTGGGAGTCCCCCGGGCTCCTCTAACCCTGCGGCATTCCCAGGGCCCGGAGCACATCTACTGCAGCTGTGTCTCACCCTGTGGCACCTGGCTCGGCTACTGCACCGCCTCCCGGTTCCACCTGTACCGCGTGCGCTGCGACGGCATCAGCCTCAGGAAGGTCAGGAAGGGTGGAGGAGGCTGCAGGGTCAGGGGGGATGGCACGGTCACTGTCACAGTGGTGACAGCAGTAGGTGGCACTGGGGTCCTGGTGGGCTGGTGTGTCCTTGGGTGGTTGTCATGGCCGGTGTCACACGTAGGGAGCACTGGTGGCAGTGGGGTGGCTGCCAGGGCTGTGTTCTCCCCACTCCCAGGTCCCCAAAGTGCCCAAGCTGCTGCTTCCAGCCTACCAGCTCCAGTTCTCTGCTGACTCCAACAGCCTCTTCGTCGCTTCCGCTCGAGGATCTGTCCACGTGCTCCAGCTGCTGGAGCCGGGGGGCTGCAAACACCTGCACACGCTTCGGCCACCCTCAGGTGTGGGCTGAGGGGAGCTGGGGGTCCCTGGGATCTGTGTACCCTCCCCACTGTGGGTGCAGAGAGGAATGTGTGTTCCTCTTTCCTGTTGTGGGTTGTGTGTGTGTCCTTCCTGTGGGTGTTTGAGCCACCCTCATGAGCTGGCACCAGATGGGCAGGGAGAATGTGGGTCTGGGTGTCCCCTGGTGGGATGTGGGGCTCCAACACCTCTTAGAGCTGGAGGGTCTCCACAGGGTGCTCCGAGGCTGTTTACCTGCTGGCGCCAAGCACAGACGGGCACTGGCTGGCAGCTGTCAGTGGGGACTGGGCCATCCATGTCTACAACCTGAAAAGCTTCAAGGTGGGTGTAGGAGTCACCCTTGCTGCCCCCCTGCCTTGAGGGACAGGGGGAAGGAGGCTTAGCAGGCAGGGCCCATCCCTGGGAGCCATTGCTGTGTCCTCAGAGCAGGGCTGGGGTGGGTGTCTGGTCAGAGGTGGCCCTGGGGGCTCCACTTCGGGGATGGGTGTGTGGGGAGACGGATCAGAGGCAGCCCTGGTGGGTCCCATCAGCACACTGTCCTTCCTGCAGCATCACTGCGTGGTGCCCAGTTACAGCTGTGCAGTGTCAGCCCTCGCCATCCACCCCAGCACCAACAACCTTGTCATTGCCTACTCGGACCAACAGGTAGGAAGGAGCTCTCCCGGTTCAGCCCTCATGGCCCTGGTCCTGTCCCTGCCCTCAGGGCTTTCCAGACCAGCTCTGGGGCCCATCTGGCTGTTGCGGGAGCTGCCCGTTTGCTGGCGTGGGGGTGATGCCAGGCAGGAGCAGACCCCCTGAGCTGCCCCGTGCCCGCCTTGTGCCTGTGCAGCTGGTGGAGTTCAGCATCCCCGAGCAGCAGTACACGGCCTGGAGCCGCACAGTGCAGAGACGGGGGCTGCACCGCTGCTGGCTGGAGCGGGACACGCCCATCACCCACATCACCTTCAATCCCAAGAACCCCTCGCACATCCTGCTCCACGACACCTACTTGTTCTGCGTCCTGGACAAGTCCCTGGTGAGCCTTGGGGTGCCCAGGGCGTGTCCCTGAGGGAGGGGTGGTAGCCTGGACAGTGCTGACCTGGGCCGTGCCTGCTACCCACAGCCCCTGCCTGATGACAGCACCCCCCTGATGAACCAGAGCACCCTGAAACAGCTCCCAGAGACAGCCAGGAAGCGGCAGCTCCACGCATTCAAGATCTGCAAGAAGTTCCAGGTGGGTGATGGTGTCGAGGAGCCGGGTCAGGAGGGTGTTCAGGTCCTGGAGAGGGACTTTGGACAGGGGCCTGGAGTGATGACAAGGGGTAGTGGCTTCTCACTGACAGTGAACAGGGTTAGATGGGATATTGGGAAGAAATTCTGCCCTTTGAGGGGGGTGAGGCCCTGGCACAGGTTGCCCAGAGAAGCTATGGCTGCCCCACCCCTGGAAGTGTCCAAGGCCAGGTTGGACAGGGCTTGGAGCAGCCTGGGATAGTGGAAGGTGTCCCTGCCAGCAAGATGGTCTTTAAGG